AAAACAGGTGGCATGTTCAATTTGAGTAATCTGAAGAAGAGTTTAAAGTGCTATTTATTTAGCAAGATGTGGTAGGGTTCATGGAAACCACAAGGCTAATTCACTGCCCTGGGCCTAGTAACTGTGGGCTGATAACATCACTAGCCATCAAAGCCAAGAGGAGGGAGCTTTTTCCAGAACCCAAAGAAAGAATCATGTGACAGCTGCAGTGCCTTTAAAGGATTAGAGGAAATAAATATCCAGAACTCACTCTCCTCTGTTCCTCTAATGTCCTGCCAGTAAGCCCTGCTGGCTGGGCCCAACCAGAAGCAACAGGGTAATCAAAGAGCTATTGATGTGGTCCCTATAGCAGGGCAGAGAGAGTGACAGAAGGCAAATGGAAGGTGTTCAGCATGTAAGAAGTTACTTGACTCTTCTTGCACGTGTTTTACCAGTGCTCATTGTCTTATTTAGGCTCAAGGTAAACGTTAAAACCCAGCTGCTATACCTGGAACCTCTTCCTGTTTTGTCAGCTCTGCTGTTTATTTGGAATCCATTCCCTGTTTTCTTCCATCTGAAATTCACTCTATTTACTTAGAGTCCCCTATCCCTTTTCTTCAATCCAAGCTGAACAGTTAGACCCTGAAGCCCTGCTAATCAATGAGGCTCATATTCTTTATAGTTAGTTCTATAGTTAGAAGCTGTGTTCTATAGTTAGCTCCACACCTCTGGAGCTCATGGACTTTGAACTTCATTAGGGTGGAGATTAGATTTCTTCTGTTTGTCAGAGAGGCTGCATCCAGTCTAATGAGCAGCTTGTGATAAGTTGAGGGTGTCTCCCCCAGCCACAGGCATAAAGAGTTGCAACACACAAGTCCTGCATTTATTTTCTTGGTATTATATGCTTAGCTTTAGAGTGCCTTACTCTTAGCTCTTACCTGACTTAGTTAACCTTCCCTGGTACCTCCCACTTTAGTGTTTCTTATTCTTTGCCTATCCCAAGTAGGATATTTAAAGAAGAGAATGTTTTAGCCTTCTGTAGCATAAAGTGAGGGAGCTCTGGTAGCGTAGTGCCTAAGGCACTTGACTGCTAACCAGAAGGCTGGCGGTTCAAACCCACCAGCCACTCCTTGGAAGGAAAGTTGGGCAATCTACTTCCATAGTGATACTGCCTCGGCAACCCAAGGAGGGGTCGCTATGAGTCGGGTCTGACTCGATAGCACATAACAACAACAGCATAAAGTGAGCATTGATTTTGAAAGTATAGCTACCGAAAACTTTAATTTACTAAGTAAATTAAAAATAAAAATCATGTAAATTTAAAATTTGATCCTGTGATGGTAATTTGTGGCCAATTAAGGAAAAATAAATAAATTTAAAATAAAATTATCTGTCTCCTGAGTATTTGTGTTGCCTGTACTATTCAGGAAGGTGTAAGTTATTAAGAGTGGAGGGGACTTGGCAATGCCATTGAGTCCATCTCCCTTTCTGTACAGATGAGGCTGCACGTTCAGAGACGGGAGCGATTTGCCTGCACAGTAGCAAGCTGAGGAGCTAAAACTAGAACCTTATTTTCCCACGCCTAAATTCTATCCATTATACCAACTTGTTTCTCATGTTGAGTTGAGTGTGGATGACTAACTTACTGTCTTTTCATGGGAGATGTCTTAGCTCTTGAGCTAGATTGGAAGCAAGTAGAAGGCAGAAACCAAGTTCTATGCTTTTAAATTCATCGCAGTATTTCATACAATTATGCATGTTTTGAATATATGCTTTGCACAGTGTATTAAGTTCATTAAGTCTTTGTTGAATTGAATAGACTGATGTTCTTTGAAGATTTAATGACTGAGGACAAAAGAAAGCAAAAGGGGTATTGAAGACAAAGACATTAGAGAAATAAAGTATTGACAATATTTAGTTGGAAAAAAGTTGGATTCTAATAAATTAATGATCTTCATGAGGATTATATTGACAATTTATTCATCATTCATCTGAGGTTTATCTAAGGAAAAACAACTATAAGAGCCAGTTTGGTCAGTTTTACAGTAGATGGGCAGGGGCAGTAGTTTTATTTTGAGCAGGTAGAGACTTTCTCTGAGTGTCTTGCAGTCTAGGTGAGGAGTCCTGGGAAAGAGGAAATATGTTAATGCCTGATAGATAATAAGGGTATTGCCATGAAGATATTCTTTCCAGAGAAAGCTTTCAAGCAAACGTTTCTTCCTGGTTTTACTTCTCCAGGGTACTTTATTTATTTATCTGTATTGAGTTGTCCTGTGAGGGTGACTGGGATGATTAAAGTAGAAGCTCAAAGTGTTGAGAGAGCTCCTTTCTGTGGAGGAGTAGACATCTGGTGTAGGGAGAGGAACCTCTTAATGAGCCTCCTTTTGTTTTGCATGACAGACTTTTGAATTGACTAGTAAATTCACTTTAACTTCGAAAGTTGCCCTTGCTTTGATATGGTATAAAGGGAGGGGATTCCAGGAGCTCTCTGATGAACATATGCACCAGCAGCTGTTCTCTGTGTTTTGACTGCTCCCCACCATCCACCAGCCCTGCAAGTGTCTGCTGTGGGAACTTCTGACCCATCCTTTTTGCCCATGGTGCTGTTTCCAGGTGGCTTGGCCCTTCTCTGAGACAAACATCAATTGCAAAGATCAGAGTGGGCTGGCTTTTGAAGAGATTTTTCAGATTCTGCTTTGCAAACCTGCTGAGAGACGTGGTGCTCCTTTCATGTTTTCCATTCCATCTGTCTCTTGAAAGGGCAAAAGGAAGGATTTCTTATGACCAGGGGCTATTGATGTTGGCTGCTAATTCATTTCAAATTAATTTCTACATTTTTGTCACAGGCATCTAACAGCCATTGTATTTCCTTGATCTTAACATTGCTCTAGCAAGGCTGCCAGTGAGCAACAAGAGAAGCAATTTCTGTATACTCACTAAACGAAATACAAAGGAACCTAGGTTCCCATTCCTAATGAGGTTGCTCTTAAATGTCATTCATGCTTCTTTCCTTTGTATAAATATTGGGTCCTGAATAACAGCATGAGTATTACCGAATTGTATTGTTGTTGTTATGTGCCATCGAGTCGGACCCGACACATAGCGACCCCTCCTTGGGTTTCCGAGGCAGTATCACTAGGGAAGTAGATTGCCCCATCTTCCTTCCGAGGAGTGGCTGGTGGGTTTGAACCGCCAGCCTTCTGGTTAGCAGTCAAGTGTCTTAGCCACTGTGCTACCAGAGTTCCCAGAATTGTATTAGTTAAGCGTATAGTAACACTTCTTCAGGCAACCATAGCATATTCACTGATTGCCTACTGTATAATAGGCACTGTGGGGCTTTAACAACACCATTTTCTATTCCTAACAGCAAGTCTACATGATAGTTGCTGTTAGTATTGTTTTACAGATAAAACAGTGGAAGGGTGGGATTTGAACTCAGGTCTGCTGAGTCTAAAAGTCTGTTCTCTTTGCACCATACTACAGAATACCACCTGTGGGCCAAATCCAGGGAGTCACCTGTCTTTGTAAATAAAGTTTTATTGGAACATGACTACACCCGTTTGTTTATATGCTGCCTGTGGCTGCTTTCATGCTGTAACAGCAGAGTTGAGTAGTTACAACAGAAACTTTATGGCCTACAAAGCTGAAAATATTTACTGTCTCGACCTTTAAGGAAAAGTTTTATTAACCTTTGTGCTGTGCCATTGCTGACAGTGGCCAAGTCATTAGCAAATAAGATAGTTTTTCTGGCTACATATGACACATATGAAAACTTATATCTTTCTTCTGTCTGTCTCATTTTTTTTTCCTCTTATCACATTTTGTCTTCTAAACATTTTTCTTATGATTTTCTGGGGGTAGAGGCTTTTACAAAACTCTGAGTGTAAATGCCAGTTAGTAATGGTTTGATTTATTTATTTAGAGATTTTCTGTCAAGAGTCTTGAAATAGGTTGTTTGAGATTCTAAATGGTTTCCATGAAGCATAAATTTTCAGCAGGTTATTCTTTCTTGAGGGAATGAGTCAGATAATATTCTGGTATGATTTTTAGCAAGCTCTGCTGCTTTTGTTTTGTAAGTGTAGACTTCTCTTGTTTTTGCCTAATGTTAATTTGTTATTACTTACTTGGGCAAATTCTAGCCAAGGTGTCATTGAAGAGGGAGCGGTTTTTAAATGTCAGTGTACATAAGAAACACTTGGAGTACTTGTTAAAAATGTAGATTCCCAGGCCCCAGTCCCAGAGATCCTGAATTAGGATATGTGTTGTAGTTGCTTCTGATGCTTATGAGAAAAAGTTGGTTTGGGGTATGGTCAAGACTTAATGGAATGATTATTGATAATCTGAATATAGATATTATCCATGACTAGTTTTGTTTTCTTTTCTTTTTTTTAAATCCTGGTTCAGTTTATTTTGGAATATAATTAGGAACTGTAAATTTTAAATGTTTAGTTAAGCAAAGCATTATAGGAAATAAAATTATGCTGTTGTAAATGTTTTTTAACTACTTTTTCCACTACCACTAATAACGACAATAGCATTTTGTGTTTTATGTAGTGCTTTATAATTAGAGTTCCTCATTACTCACATCTCATTTGATTTTTATGTCATCCCTTGAGGTAGATGTGACATGTGGTATAATTTCCATTTATCAAATGAGGAAACAGTTTTAGAAAATAAGTATTTTATGTTCTAACATTGCACAGCTAGTAAGCAATGCATTTGTAATGCCCATATACCACTTGTAACTCTAGCCCAGAATTCCATTCAATTTACTACATTGACCTTATGACACCTGTTTTCATTTTTAGAGGAAAATGTAGTAATTTTATAACTCATTCTATATATCATTTTCTAACCATCTGTTAGGAAGGATAAATTGTCCATAGTCGAATACTTTGGTAGTCTCCCATAGATGCCTCATTGTGGGATTGATCATAGGTATATGCAGATTGGCGAGTCATTTTTTCTTTTGTAGAGTGTTCATAGTGTGGAAGAAGAATTCTCTCTCATTTCTTTGGCAGAAACTTTATAAGACGTGTCGAGAGATGCAGGAGAGGATCATGGACCTGCTGGTGGTGGTAGAGAATGAAGATGTAACTATTGAGCTAATTCAAGTGAATGAGGATTTGAATAATGCCCTCCTTGGATATGAGAGGTGAGCAAATGGAGTACCCTCTCCACTCCTCCTCCAGTTCCTGTTTTACCACCAGTTATTCAGCATTTTCACTCAAGTGCCCACAAGCTGAAGCACTTGGAAGATCAAGAATGAGTTAAAGACAAGGCCACCTCTTCCTCCTGAGATACAGGAGCTTGGTCCTGGTCTTCTATATTGTCTACACTGAGCACGTGGTAGGCTCTCAAACTGATGAATGGCACAGACAAAACACCTTGATGAAAGTAGGATTTGAGCTGAGTTTTAAGATAGAGAAGAATATGGAATGGCAAAGAATAATGGAGAGAGAATTTTGTATGGAGAAAATAGTCTATACAAAAACAGAGCAACCAAATTTTATATAGGAACATAGATTTTTTTTTTTATTTCCATAGAAAAATTATGAAGATAAAAATTTAAATATACCTGATTTTTTTCACCTGTTTTTGTTCCTACAGTTTTTATAGTTGTGAACATAAAGAACATGTATTTTTATTTCTTTTTTTATTTTATTCACTGTAACCAGTATTAGTGTATCCAGTGTTTTTAAAAGGTTTTGGTGGGTTGTATAATGGTCCATGTTTATCTCATACTTCACTTATTATTGGACATCTCAGTTATTTCTGACTCATTTGTTTATCAGAATGATAATCTGATAGTCCAGACTATTAGTCTAGTCAGTAATCAGGAAAATATATTAAATTATAATACAAATGTCCATGTTTGGAAATTGAAATATAAATATTATGGAAACAAAAGTTCAGGAGGTCTATTTAGTGAGAATAACAAGTGGACTTAATCCAGGTTGGGATGAAAGGAAGGGAAAACCTCTCTGAGGAAATACCATTTAACCTGAGAACTATGGAATAAGTAGAAGTTGACTAAACAAGGAGCAGAGAAAGAGCACATACTGTTAGTAAAGTTACTATAAAGTATAAAAGACTTGGGGAGAGTGTGTACCCAGAACCCAGTCCTATGAAACTGCTACACACTTTGATAGAGACAAGTGCTTCACAGTCTTTTGTTGTTGCTATTGTTAGTTGCTGTTGAGTCTATTTCAGCTCACAGCAGCTCTATGTGTGTAGAGTAGAACTGCTTCTTATGGTTTTTAAGGGTGTGACGTTTCAAAAGCAGTCTCTAGGCCTGTCTTGCAAGGTGCCTCTTGTTGGTTCAAATTACCAACCTTTTGGCTAATAGTCCAGTGCTTAGCCATTTGCACCACTCCAGAGCTCCTCAGTCTTATGTAAAATGCTGTGTATAAATCATAGCTCCAGGTAAGTCTTCTGGTCCCACTTTTCAACTCTGTCCATAGCGCTTCCTCAAATTACAATTCTGGAACCTCTGAGTGCTGCTAACTTTGGCTACATTCTTTTATCTCTTTAGAAGTCATATGGCATTTTGGGAAGGACATTTTCCCTTGTATGGTCCATACACACTAAATGCCAGAGGTGTTCCTTCCAGTTAAACTGACGTTTCCAGAATACTGCTCTGTTAGCAGTTCACCAGGAATGTTTAATTGTGTACTAGCTATCTTTTCAACCAGCCGATGAAGAATGGAACCGTATGGCATGAGGGATAAAGCTGAACAGGCCTAGATTCAGACCTACCTGATGATCCCAGACAAGTTGTTTAACCTTTTTAAGGTTCAATTGAGTTGGTCTTTGTTGTGTTTTTGTTTTTGTTTACAGTCTGTTTAATACTTATGGAGAGGGTTGGACAGCAGAACACTAGCATATTGGCACTTATTAAATGTTGATTTCTTCTCCTGTTAATCATCATTAATGTCCCACTGAGCCTTTAATTTACTGAATAGATATTTTTCAACTGATCATGAGTAAACCAAGAGAATTTGTGGCATAAAACCAGTAGCTGTAAAATTATGTTTCTTATTCTTTTACTATCTCATATTTAGTAGGGACAACAGCTATTCTGACAGAAAGGTGACAGGGCATCAACAAGTCCAGTGACCATGGTCTCTTAACACTGAACAGTCTCATGATCCTTACCCTTTGTTTCTTACATTTAAAATCTTTGTAAGTGGAAAGATTATTAGGGGAAAAAAATTGGCTTTCAGTATAGTGCTGCCTCCTGGTTTTCATTGTGGAGGATTCTGCTGCAAACCTAAGACCGCTGACGAAAGACTTCCTCCGAAGGGAAATATGTGTTGATTTGGTCTGGATGTCCGAAGATTGAGTTACCTCTGTGGAAAGCTCATTGTGATTCAGCTTTGAACCATGTATGCCAAGCTGACGGCAGTCAATTGCGTGACAGAAACACTTAAGTTTTCCTTAAAATTCTTGCTGCTAGGAAAGAGACTGATCTAGTGTTTTCATTTTCTAGGACTGCTGAAACAAATTACCACAACATTTGTGGCTTAAAACAATACAAATTTATTATCTTACAGTTTCATAGGTCAGAGTTTTGCAACAGGACTCAACTGGACTAAGATCAGGGTGTCAGCAGAGTTGCATTCCTTTTTGGACACTCTAGGAAAGAATTCATTCCCTTGCCTTTTGCAGCTTCTAGAGGCTTCCTGCTTTTCCATCTTCAGAGCCATCAATATCTGGCTGAGTCCTCACATTGTATCACTCTTACTTCTCTTCTGCCTCCATTATCCACATTTAAAACCTTTGTGATTACATTGTGCCCACCTGTGCAATCCAGGATAATTTCCCTATTATAAAGTTGGATGACTACTAACCTTAAGTCCATTTGCAGCCTTAATCCTCTTTGCCACATAACCCAACAAATAGACTAGTTTTAGTGATTAGCATGTAGAACTCTTCAAGATGTCATTATTTTTCTTGTTGTAGTCTACCTGATGGCCCCCAAAGAGTCATATCCATCCTGCCATGTAAAATGCATTCCAGGATCTCAAAAGTCTTGCCCCCATTAGGTACAGGGAATAATTTTGCAAACAAGGAAATGGAAATGTGACCTGCAAAGGTCATTTAAGACCAGTGCATAACAGACCAGTACATAAGAAGACAATACTATAAATGGAAGGGGAAAAAAATACGTGTTTTTTGAAGGTGAAAATTCTTAAACCTAAGTACATGTTCAGATTCCAGGCTCATGGCATTAATGTGTCATAACAGTAATACTATATGTTTCTAAACCAACTCTCAGTTTGTAAAGACAACATTTTCATATCCATCCACCTGTGTTCTCTCACTATTTGTGTGTGTGTGCATGCATGCATGCATGTATCTATCTATTTACATACCATCTACCTTTATACATATGTTTGCCCCTGAAAATAACTCTGAGGGAAGTTGTTCAAATGTTGTTGCTGCCTTTTAACAGGTGGAGAACTGAGGTACATTAGGTCATGTGCATGATCATATGACTACTAGATATTAATGCTGACATTTGAACTTTGGACTTCTGCCTCAACTTCATTATTCTTTCAAATCTGTTCTGCTATTTATTTAACTACTCCACCTTTACCAGCAATGAACAAACAATATAAAATCTAAAAAGTTTTGAAGGTCAATGTTTTTAGTTAGTATCAAGTGTCTTATGAAAAGATGAATAGTAAAACAATTAAAATACTTGGAATGTATTTGAATTTTTATGGATTATTATTTATAATGGCAAAATTGGAAATATTTCAGAATAAGGATAGTCAAACATGTGATACATTCATAATGTAAAATATCATGCAGCCGTTAAAAATTGTATAGCCGAATAATTATGTTCCTAGAAAAATGCTTACAACATAATTGAATTAGGGCACAGAATTATATATAATTACAACTAAGTTTAAAAATAGAATCACTTATAGAACAAAGAACTAAAAACAAATACATCATAATGTTAATGGGAACTATTTCTGGATGATTGAGTTATAATTTTTTAATACTTTTCCATTTCTTAGCAGTTTTCTCTAGTGGCCATATTATACTGGCAGTAAGTTATTTAAAAAATATATTTTATTGGAAATTGAGTTTGGGTTAGGCTGATTGTCTTTGTTCAGAATATTTTTGCATTAATAATTTGTTACATATTGTAGAATTTTCATATTTGTTTTCTTTTAAATACTTGCATTTTGATCATTTAAACAGGTTTACTCGAAACCAGCAAAGAGTTTTGGAGCAAAGTAAGAACCAGGAAGAAGCTGCCAATGTAAGCAAACAGAAATTTTATAAAATAAAAAATGGAACACTTTACCAATTGTACAATGAGAACAAGGCTTATCTAAAACAAGTCTTAAAAAAGAAGAGGGGCACATTGGCAGTTTGGAGTAGTTTTGGTGGTGCAGAATATTTGCCGTAATGACTTGATGTTATTAAATTATTAACAAGAGATAATAAGAATCCCTAGTTAAGCAGAACTTCATATAGGTAGTGAGATATGATTAGTAATAGAGTTGCCTATTGAAGAGCAAATTCTCCCTCAAAATGTGTCCAAACCAGATCCTCTCCCTTCCAAAGTCATTGGCAACTGAGGCGGGGTGGGATCCTGATAAACTACATGACACATTTTTTTCTAATTTGTGTTTTTATTGCTTTGTTTTCAGACAACCAGTGAACCTTCTGCCCCATCCTGTGATCTCCTTGACCTAAGCCCCAGTCCCCCAACTCCTAGGGCCACATTGGGAGAACTCAGCGCTGTGAATGCTCAGCTGTCAGATTTAAGTAAATAAGCACTCGGCCCTTTTCAGACCATTGAAAGAGCTTGAAATGAAACAGTTCTCTTGGTTTCATAATTAAATGTCACCTGAGAAGGAATGAAGTCACTTGGAATATCAGAGAACTATATCTGGAAATGTAATTCCTTCCCAGCCAATGCTTGGGTCAATTCAATACAGGAATGGGATGTGTTTGGGGGAGGAGGTCCTTGAAACTCATCCCACAGGCTTAGAATCTCAGTTCACCTGACCAGTTTGGAGACATTGTTCAACTCCATGGCCAGTGTGTAAAGCTACTTTGAAGCCAGACACTATTATCTTTGGGTTTCTCTGCTATACCACAGTATCAGGTAAGGGAATACATGATGAAATTAGATGATGAAGAAATCAGGAATTACAAGGCCTAATACATGTGGTGATGTGTAGAGGGAAAAACAGTAGAGAAATCCCAGCTCTGCCATCTCTTAACCACCCAACCTTTGAGATTCCCTTCTTTATAAAATGAGAACAATGGTTACCTTGTAAGATTGCTGTGAAGATAAATGAAATAATGTTTGTAAATTGCACCATAGGTATAGGGTTACCTATCTTATCTCTTGTATTTGTCGTCTTCTACTATCCTTACTCCCAAAAAGTTTTGGTAAATTATGAAATAAAAATGACGAGAAGCTGAATTTCCAAAGTTTTGCCAAACTAAAATCAGTTTGTTTTTCTCTTAAGGACTTTTCCAGAGTCAAAATATTCAGTATCACTGAGTTTGTGTGTTTTTTTAATAACTTACTCTAGTTCTAAAATGTTGGGTACTTGCTTATGTGGGATGATGGAATGTGTGGGGTCCTGTTACATTGGAGAGTTTTCTTAGGTCTTTAACAGTAATTTTCAGAGGGATAAAATAGTTATTTCCTTTGTGATGCACTTAGGATTATAGAAACTTAAGAGCTTGGGAGGTCAGCATAGAGTTGTAAATATACAAGTCAGCATTTTACATCTGTGCTTGACAAAACAAGACATGTAATATCCATTCCATTTTGAATTAATTTGGGATTTTAGAAAACCCAAACAATAGCATTTGCTACCTTTACAACAGCCTTTTTTTTTTTTTTTTGCAGCACAGGATTTCTTTCTTTCCAGCTGCCATGAATGATGATTTTTCATTTTTAAAGAAATCTCATGGTTTTATGGTGACAGAAATTTCTAAATTATCCTCTTTAATTTGGTTGTTTTTCACTTTGTAAAACCCAGCAGAACTGACTGACAAAATGTTTTGAAACCAAGCAACTAATCCATTTTGTGTTCTAGATTTTAGATCATCAAGTCCTGTTGTTACAAACGTGAACCCCAGTCATCATTCACAGGTAGACTTGCTAGCCTCAGAAAATACAGAAGCACCCTTGTAAGTATGTCAGTAATACTACAGAACTAATACGATATCATTCTGTTACTTATATTTAAGAATAATACATGGCATAATAGCTAAAGTACTTATTTAGAAAACAGACCTGAGTTTCAGTCTCAGTACTGCATTCTGTATGACCTTGGTTGAGGTTCTTAACCACTGTGAACCTCCATTTTTCTCCTGAGACTACTTCCTAGGATTCTTACAAAGATTTGGTAAGATACTATCTATAAAATGCCTAATATAGCATTTGGTAACATAAGAAGGCTTCAAGAAATTACCTGTTTCTATTATTTTTTAATGGTAACAGATAGTGGGGTAAAACAGGAATACAGTGACACAGGAGAGAGAAGAGAAGTGAGGTTCAAAATTGTAATCGTAGTGACTACACCAATGACAGGTCACTTGCCATGTGTCAGGCACTTTGCTGAGCTCTTTTTGTTTTTCTTACATAATCTTCACAAAGTTCCTGGATCAGTAATAATATTATTCTCATTTTACAGAAAAGGAGCCTGAGATGTGGAAAGGGAATAGAGCTTGCCCAAGTTAATATAGCTATCAAGTGGCAGGTCTGATGAACTGATACTGATTGTTCACCAAAAAAGAAGTACAAATGACTCATAAACATATACAAAAGCACTCAACTTCATATATAGAAAGACAATGTAAATGAAACTATAGGAAGAGATAATTATTTCATCTGTCAGATTGGCAAAAATGCTAACATTTGATAATATGTAATTTGTTGGCTGTAGAAATTAAGATACTATCACAAAATTATAGAACCTTATGAGGGTCAAATGATGATATCAAAATTATAAATGCATTTACCTTTGAACCTATAATGTTAATTCTAAGAATTGATATTGCATTTATACAGAATGAGGTATTTACAAGACTATACAGCATTTTGCTCAAAAGCAAATAATTGGAAATAGTTCAAGCACCCATTTGTTGGGACTAGTTAAATAAACATCTACTTAGTGCATTGATATACAACTGGAATAAAAAGGTAGGCCCTCTGTATGAGGGATAATCACTGATATATTTGTTGTTAAGTGAAATAAAATGTTAAGCAATGCATATATACTGCATTGCATTTGTGTAAGAAAGCCAGAATAAGATATATGGGTATGATTGCCTCTTTGCATAAAATAAATGCAGGAAGGATACAGAAGAAACTAAAAAAGTGATCAGGGACAGGCAAGATAAAATAATGTAAGAAATAAACAGAAGCTGGCCTTGCCTTACACCAAAATATATGTATTTTTAATATATATACTGTAGTTAATAGGGAAGACATTTCTATGATTCAGATAACAAAACAGTATAAAAAGGTATAAAAGCAAAATTCTTGATCTCATCCTTCCCCCACCCCTCTTCTCCCTTGTCTCTTTTTCTCCTTTGGCCATTTCCTGCCTCCACCTAGATAACCACTTTTATTAATTTCTCATTTCACCTTCCAACTTTCTTTAGGCAAATATGGATATCATTTTTCTCCTTTATAAAATACAACATCGTTTACTATTCTGAACTTTGCTTTTTTCTCCATTCACCAGTATGCCTAGGTGGTGTAGCAGTGGATTTAGAGATTTCTCATTTTATTTTGAAGTTGCCAGCTGTTTTATTTAAAAACTCAAGTATCTAATATCACTAAATTATTTTTTCTGTATTAAATGAAAGAAGGATGAAGGAAGAGAATCAGAAAGAATAATCAAACTGGGAAGGAAAATGAACCAAAAAGAAGAGCAATGGAAGAGGAAAAAAGAAAGATCCGTATGTCAGATAATGATAGTGTCAAGGGCTGTCTCATAAACCACTAAGTTGGGTCAGTACCTTAGGTTGGCTGCATCTGATCTCAACTGTGTGGGATGTACCAAACCAAACCAAACTCACTGCCATCAAGTCAGATCTGACTCAGCGACCCCTCCTTGGGTTTCCAAGGCAGTATCACAACGGAAGTAGATTGCCCAATCTTCCTTCTGAGGAGTGGCCGGTGGGTTTCAACTACCAGCCTTCTAGTTAGCAGTCAGATGCCTTAAGCACTAAGCCACTAGAGCTCCCATGTGGTATGTAAGTAAATGTTAAAATGTTGTAAGCAGATCCCTAGTGAAGTTGCTTGGTAAATAATGTCTAAAGTAGCTCATTCTGTTTTCCTGTTATTCCAGTCTTGTTGGGTAATAAGAGAAAGAATGAGTAATGCACACAAAATCCCATTACAAGCATCTGTATAAAACACACACACACACACACACACACACACTCAAATCAAATCCTAGCTAATAGCTACTCATTTTAATGAGTAATATAGTGGATCTCATACTTTACTGTGTGTGAAAATCACTTGCATGCTTGTTAAAAAGTCAAACTGCTGTCCCCCAGAAACTCTGATTCAGTAGATGGAGGGTTTGTGGTTAGATGCCACATTTTAGATGTCAATATTGACTCATAGTGACCTCTTGTCACAGAGTAGAACTGCCACATAGTTTTCTAGGCTGTAATCATTATAGGAACAGATGTGCCAAGTCTTTCTCCTGCAGAACCACTGGATGGGTTCAAACTGACAACCTTTTGGTTAGCAGCCAGGTGCTTTACCGATAACCACGAGGGCCCCTGAGATTGGGTATAAGTTCCAGGAATCTTCTATTTTAACAAGCCTCCAAGGAGAATAAAAGCAGTTGTTCTCTGATCATACAGTGAGAAATACTGTTAATAGGCATCTGACCAAAATCCAGACATCAGAATAATTGTTAAAGTTCTTAGAATTCATTGGAATGAAAGCTTAAAAATTTCCATGTAGGAAAATTGATTTTTTTTTTTTTAATCTCTGGTGTTAAGTGACTATGCATTTAGAAATGTCTTCTTGGTGAATGTAGCCTTTCATTATTATGTGATATCCTTCTTAAGGAGCTCTTCTGAGGTACAGTAGTTAACCATGCGGCTGCTAACCAAAAGGCTGGCAGTTCAAACCCATCAGCCACTCCGTATGAGAAAGGTGAGGAAGTCTGCTTCCATAAAGATTACAGCCTTCGAAATCCCATGGGGCAGTTCTCTATCCTAAAGGGTCCCTATGAGTTAGAATTGACTTTCTGGGAGTGGGAATGCCTTTCTTTGTCCCTTTTAATTTGTTTTGCTCTGATGTCTACTTTAATAGTAATACAGCCATTCTAAGTCTCTTTTGATTAATATTTGCATCTTTCCATCCTTTTGCTTTTAACTTAAGTTTATCCACATATGTGAAGTGAGTTTCTAGTAGATAGCATAGAGTTGGGTCATGCCCTTTTTTCTTACATTTTCTCTTTTAATTGGTGTATTTAGATCATTTACATTTAATGTAAGCATTGATACATTTCAATTTAGGTATACCATTATATATTTTGCTCTGTTTGTCCCTACTACTTTTGTTTCTTTATTTCATCTTTCTTGCCTTCTTTTGAATTATTTGAATCTTTTTAGTATTCCACTTTAATTTATCCTTTATGATTTTAACTGTATCCTTGTAGAGAGTGTATGTATATATGTATGTATGTATGTATGTATGTATCTATCTATCTATCTATCTATACACACACACACACACACACATACATAATGTAGTCACTCTGGTGGTTGCAATATACATAGCTAATTTTTCAGTCTATTTAGAATCATTATTTTACCACATGAAGTAGAATGTAGAAATCTTATCATTATATAGACCCCCTTACCATTTCCCCTTTACATTATGGTTGTTTTACCTACTGTATATATCTACATACATTGATGAAAACCACAAGACAGTGTTATAATTTTAGCTTTCAGTCCTCAAATACATTTTAAGGAACTCAAGAGAACAGTCTTATTATATTTACCCAGATATTTACCATTTCTGTTGTTCTTCTTTATTTTCTTATACTATAATTTTCCTTCTCTGTGAAGAATTTCCTATAGTAGTTCTTTTAGAGAAGGTCTGTTGGCAGGAAATCTCTTAGTTTTACTTCATCTGAGAATGTCACTATTTCATCTTCACTCTTGAAAGAAATTTTCACTGGATATGGAATTCTGGGTTGACAATCCTTTCAGCAATTTAAAAATATTGTTCCAATCTCTTCTGATCTAAGTGGCTTATGAGAAATCTTCATTCATTTGAATTTTTGTTCTCCTATAGGTAATGCGTGGTTTTTCTCTAGCTGTTTCCAGTAATTTTTTTTTTTTTTCCCCTAGTCTTGAGCAGTTTGATTGTGATGTATCATGGTGTGAAATTCTCTTGGTTTATCTGGTTGGGATTTGCTGAGTGTATTAGTTTTCTGTGGCTGCCATAATAAACTATCACAAACCGTGTAGCTTAAAACAACATACATTTATTATCTCACAGTTCTGGAGGCTAAAAGTCCAAAATTCAGCAGCGCCATTCTCCTTCTGGAGTCTCTAGGAGAAAATCCATTCTTTGCCCCTTCCATCCTGGTGACTGACAGCATTCCATGACTTCTTTGGTTTGTGGTTTCATCACTCCAGTTTCTGCCTTCTTCTTCACATTGCCTTTTCCTCTTTGTGTCTCAGATCTCCCGATGCCTTTCTCTTATAAGGATACTTGTCATTGGATTTAGTGCCCATCTGGGCAATACAAGATGATCTCATCTCAGGGTCCTTAAATTAATTACAACTGCAAAGATCTTTTTTTTTTTCAAATAAAGCAACATTCTCAGGTTCCCAGAATTATGCTGTGCGTGTATCTTTTGGGGGCCACCATCTAACCCACTACTCAGAACTTCTTAAATCTTTGTGTTTATGTCTTTCACCAGACTTGGGAAGTTTGCAATCTTTATTTAAATTTTTTTTTTTTTCAGCAAAACATACTATCTGTTCTTCTCCTGGGACTGATGACACAAATGTTAGACTGCTGTCATTGTGTTATAAGTCCCAAGGGTTCACCTTTCATTTTTACTTTTTTCTTTTCTTTGTTGTTCAGATTGGATAGTTTTTGTTGATGATTTATGTTCAGGTTCACTAACTTATTTCCCCTGTCATCTCCATTTTGCTACTGAGCTGATCTTGTTTTTATTCTGTTACTGTATTTTTCAATTTTTTTTTTTTAATTTCCATTTGGTTCTTTATATCTTCTATTTCTTTGCTGACACTATTTTTCCATTTTTTTCAAGATTGTTTGTGATTGCTTGCTGGAGTGTTTGTATAATACTGTATTTTTACACAGATAACACGTGACTTCTGTTTGTTTACCAACCCCTGCCTACACTCTGGAGGTATTTTTATAAATGTGCTATGTGAATTTTTTTTTTTTTTTTTACAGCAACATGTAAAAGAAATTGGCACAGCAGCACATATTTAAATACCTGTGGGGGATGGAAGGAGCAGTTGGCAAATAAACTCAGAAGGCACATGTTGTTTTGTATAAATATAATAGCTGCTTTACAATCTCTGGCAGATAATTCCAGCTTCTGTCTTCTTGGCATCGGTGTGTGTGGGTGAGTCTCTTTTCTCATAGATGTTGAAATTTTCCTGGTTCTTCTTATGTTGTAATTTTGAATTGTATCCTGAATATTTTGAATATATATCTTGAGCCTTTTTGCCTTATTTCAATCCTGTTGGGAATGTTGATATTTTAGTTTTAGTAGGCAAACAGTTGGTTAGGTTCACGCCATAAGTATCAACCTGCTTTCTGTGGTTTACTTCCAATGTTAGGGTGTTTTTTTTTTGTTGTTTTGTTTTGTTTTCAATTTTTATTGTGATTTAGGTGAAAGTTTACAGAGAAAATCCATTTTCTATATAGCTGTTCGTACACATTTTGTCTTATGACATTGACTGAAATTCCCACGGTGTCACAGCTCTTTTCCTACTTCCTCCTCATAGTTACTCTTCCCTGTGTCCTTCCCTCCCAAGCATTCCTGCCCCCTGAGCTGTCTCCCTGTGCATACACAGCCTTTCTGTTCTCCCATGATTATTCGCTCCAAGGGGTGTATCTACCTGATGTAAATGTTTACCCCAAATGCCTGTCTGTTGTTTGGCTGGAAGCCACAGGAGTGAGTTCAAGTCCAGACCTGAAGGGTGGCTAGGGATCATAGTCTCAGGAGTCTCACCAGGCTCTGTCAGACCAGCAAACCTGTTTTTTTTTTTTTTTTAATGATTTTGAGTTTTGTTCCACATTGTTTTTAAAGCCTTTGCATGGTTATTCAGGTTGGTCCCCATGTCCACTCACTGGTGATCGGTCCGAGGTATGGACTGGAGGCTATGTGTTTAGTTCTCAGTGTCCTCGCCAGCCTGACTGGGGTCAGATTTATGCATATACAGTGGAGGGTTGAGTCTAGGACATCAAAGACGATTTTATGAGGCTGCTTTCCTGAATTCTTCCCTTTTGATTTCTCTGGTACTTTCTGGTTTCTTGGAATTCCCTTTTTGGTTCTTCAGTCAGAAAGCTGGGACTTTAATTACCCACTCTGATACTGATTTCCTCAGCTGTGTTATGACTAGGCCCACGTGGCAGGACAGGAAGAAAGAAACACCAAAGGTTTGCGCCACACTATTGAGATCACAGTTCTACCTAGTGGAGAGAAACGTTCTCCTCCCCCACAGGTTAAGCTCCTATAGGTTCCTGTTGCCCCCCCCTGTCCCCTGTCCTTGTTTGTACCTTGCAATTGCCTAGGAGTTGGTGTGAGCGAGCAGAGGGAAGGAAAGGGGAAGAAGGATTTCTACACTCTCTGAACATTGAGAATTTCCATTCTGCTCCTTGAAAACCGGAAGGCTTCTCCTGGAGTTCTGTCTCTCTTCATTGATGCCTGCTTTTGGATTTCAGTGAATGTGTTGCGTTCAGGCTCGGGAACATCAGAGGGAAAAAAAGTAGGATAAATTCACAAACAGTTCTGTGCTTCTTTGAATACTGGTCTTTGCCAATGTGCCTTCTACTGTTTACCTTCCAAAATCCTCAAATATTTCCTCAGTGCAAATATTTTATAGTTTTATAGTTGCATTCAGTTGGAGAGACAGGGTGGAATGTATTTCCTCCATCTTACCAATTATCAGAACCCTCCCCACCCTCTTCCCCTCCTCCTTCAGAAAGTGATGGGTGGTAGCTACTCAGATGGAAAGACTGAAAGCTCTGTTCTTATCCATGTACTTACTGTGCACGGTACTGTGTGTCTTTGCTCTCTCTGGTGTTTGGGTGTCCTGTACTCATGGACACTGAAACCAGGTGGCAGTTGTTATATAAAATATCTTTTGTTCAGGCTGCTGCAGGTATGTTTTAGATACTGTTTTTAGATCAGGAAAATCATCTTATTTTTTGCATTTGTGTTCTTACTGTAGGGTAACCATGCTATATTATCACACTATCCTAGGTTTCCCCAAAGGACCAGCCAAAACCTCACCTCAAGTCACACATATGACAATGTAAGTAATGAAGTCCTTCTCTGGCAGTGCACCTAGTCAGCAGGTGATCATGGCCAAAATAAAGGATTTCTGGTTAAGTCTTATGTTCTGCTCAGTGTTTATATATATATATAATGAGTTGATCCAGCCCTTGATAGGACTTTTCCTTGGCTCCTTTTTAATCTAAGGTGGGTCTTACGTCTATTAGGAGGATGGTTAAGGATCAAATTCCTTTACATTTGTTTGCATTTGCTGTTTCCACTTTCTTTTCTCCCATCCTCTTTGACAGATCTGACGGGCTTTCATCCCTACCACTGTACTGACAAATCTCTTGTCAAGGTCACCAGTGACTTCTGTAGCACTAAACTACTACTACGGTTCTCAGTCCTCATCTTACTAGGTGTTTCAGAGGCATGTGGCAAAGTTAATCACTCCTTCCTCTTTGTGCATGTGCTTTCAGAGACCCACTCACTTTTGGATTTTCTGTCACCTCACCTCCAGTCCATCTCAACTCCAACTCCTTAGCTGTCCTCTCCTCCTCTACTGCCCTTTCAGTACTGAAGACCGCAGGGCTCAGGCTTCAGACCTCTCTTCTCTGTCTCCATTCCTCAGTGTTCTTTTGGTCCCATATCTTGAAAAACCATAAACATTCTGACCATTTACAAATTTGAATCTCCAGCCCAAACCCCTCCTCTAAACTCTGAATTCATGCATTCACATTCCACTTAACCAAGCCTCTTGATTTCTTCCCAGTCCCTGTTCCCAACCTGTTCTTCCTGCAACCCTCCCCAGGAAGAAGACCACTTCACTTTTTCAGTGGTTCAGGCCAGAAATCTTGGGAAATAGTGCATGAACTTTATCTTTTCACCCTCAAAATATATCCAGTATCCAGCCACTTCTCACCACCTCCACTTTGACATCGTAGCCCATTCCACTATCAGAGGGATACTGCAGTGGCCTCCTAAGGGTCTTCCTATTTCTGCCTCTGCCTTTCCCCCTTTCCCTGCTACTCCTTGCCCTCACAATCTATTCTCAAAACAGAAACCAGAGCAGTCAAAAGAACTCCTATATGTCATTTCATTTATTCAAAACCATGTATGTCTTTCTTGCTAACTCATTTTACCCAGTAAAAGTCTGAAATGCTGATCTGATCTCCCCATTCCTCTCCTACTTCACCTCTTGTCCCCTTCCCTTTGCTCACTCTCTGTCAACCACACTGGCTTCCTCTCCATGGAAATCTTTATTAAGATTTATGTGAAAAGTAAGAGTATTCACGGTGGCTTCTTCCACTTCAAAGCCTATGAACTTGCTTTTCTCTCAGATCATCACAAGGCCCACTTCATTCACATTCAGCTCCATCCAAATAGTCCCACTGGCGAGGCAGGCCCTGACCACTCTGTCAGAGCACCACTTCCCTCCGCCTCCTCCTCCCCACCCACTGCAGCTTCTCTTACCCTCTTTGCCTTGCATTTAAAGGGTAAATCCTAAAGATTAAGCTCTATAGCACTTTCCTCTAACATCTGTTTGTTTCTTGATGGTTTATTCCATGAAGGCAGGGACTTGGCCTCATTTGTTACTCCATTTTCAGTGCCTGGCATCTAGTATGTGCCCAGTACATATTTCTGAAATTAATGGGGAAAACTAGGACAAGAAGAAGATATTTCTAATTTAGAATTTACTCTTCTATCTTATCAGACTCTAATTTGATAGGGTTACCTGGTGCTTCTCTGTAGAGTTAAGATTGTTTAGGTTTTTGTTTTTCCTGCTTGAGGATGAGATATTTTATATTTAGCTCGAAACAACTGAGAATCTGGACTGAGTTATCCAATTATACTGCTTTTTGAAAGAAATGGTTTTTTTATTTTAAATTTTTTATGAAAAGCTAGAATGCAATGGGCATAAAACCAAACAGAAAAGCAATAATTTTTTAAATGGTTATTGTCTAGAAAACTGAAGTAATAGTTAAAAATTACTGATTTGGATCCAATTGAGAGTATATGGTTTTTGGAATAGTGCCACTTGGAAGCCTAGGAATCTAAATAATATGAAAAAAGCTTAATGTAGAATGTTTACTTGAGCCCATGCCATGCTTTCTTCAGTTTCCAGAAGATTCATATTCAGTGTTACTACAGCCAACTAGTCTACAGAGTATCCCAGCAACATCGTCAGACCAGAGGCTGCCACCCTTGCCTGGCAATCATCCAGGTACCTGAGACTCTATTATTTGCACCAAATAAGAAAACTTAGAAGAATATATGAGTCTGCCAGACATTTACTGGTAATTAAAACTTGATATATAGAGAGGAGAAATTAGAACAGCTCATTTACATTTTAAGGTGTATGAAGTAAACAAACTTAGGATCAATATCATCATGACTGACATTGAGAGGTAAAATGTGTGTTGAACTGTCTATTGCCTTTTGAATGTTAAGGTAAATATATCTTTACTTGAGGTCTGGAAATCTTTCATATAGTTTTCTTTCTGGCTGTCATTTTGTTGTTAGGATCTTATATTTGAAGTTTTTAAATTATAAAGAGAGTATTAATTGCACATATCTCTTGGAAAAGCACAATGTATGTTTACAGGTTCTTTCCCCCCGCCCCAAGCAATGACAAAGAAAGATCTTCAGCCACCCAATTACTACGAGGTAATGGAGTTTGATCCCTTAGCTCCTGCTGTCACTGCAGAGTAAGTAATTTATAAAATGATGAATATATTTTTGTCTGGATAGTCCCTTTGGTAACAGAGCTAACAGGGCTTGGTTTTATATTTAACTTTGTTTAGGTGTTGGCAGAAATTGATGGCCTTATTAAAAATGACTTTCAATGTTTTATAGAAGCTGTTGCTCTTAATGTTCTCATTGTTCTTGGCTTTGTGACTAAAAAATCAAAATGCTGAGGTTGCACATTAAAAAATAACCAGAATCCTGGGGGCTCAGGACCATAGCCTCAGAGAACATCTAGGTCAATTGGCATAAGATAATATTGTACATTCTACTTCAGTGAGTAATGACTGGGGTCTTAAAAGCTTGTGAGCAGCCATCTAAGGTGCAATTATTGGTGTCTCTCCATCTGGTGCAAAGAAGAGTAAAGAAAATCAAAGATGCAAGGACTTTATCAAAGAAAATCAGAGATGTAGAGGACTAACAGACCATGCCAACCCCAGCCTCCCTCACCCTGAGACCAGAAGACTTAACCTGGTACCTGGCTACCACTGCTGACTGCTCTGAAAGGGATCACAGTAGAAAGTCTTAGATAAAGTGGGGTAAAAATATGGAATAAAACTCAAAATACTAAAAAAGACCAGGTTTACTGTCTGATAGTAGTGGAACTCCTGAGACTATGGCCCTTAGACACCCTTCACGCCTAGAACTGAATTCACCCCCATGGCTTAATTTTCAGCCTAACAACAGGTAAGCCTATAAAGTGAACAGTAACACCAGGTAGTTCTGTCCTCCGTAGAACAGTCAACTATAGGAGATCAAAATGACAGCATTTGCCCAAGGACAAAGCTCAGAAGGCAGGAAAGGATAGGAAAGAAGGACGAATGGAAATGGGAAGCACAGGGCGGAGGTGGGACGAGTGCTGTTATATTGTGTGGATTGTGATCAATGTCACAAAACAAAGTGTGTATGAATCATTGAATAGAACACTAATTTGCTATGTAAACTCATCCAAATCACAATAAAAAGTAAAGAGAAAAAAAGAATAATCAGAACTAACATGGACATCCTCATAGATGCTTTGGTAAAAAGTCACATTCTCTCCAGCTTGAGAAGGGTACCATTTGCAGATAGATGACATAAGTAACACCACATTGATGAGATGTTCTGCATGAGCTCTGACTACTGATCCCCAAAGAACATACAAGAACTTGTTTTTAGTCTTCAATACTGACACAAGGTACTTAAAATGGATTAATATTTGGTTTAAAAAACAACTTGAAATCCTTAAAGCACCATTATTTAATTTCATATTGGGCCAAAGCACATAAATATTTATGGGCTAGGGGAGTGGTAGATACAATAGAGCTTTAATATACTTTGATTAATTGAAAGTTACTCCCAAAGTTCTTAAAAACGATTAAAACAAGATTTTAGAAATCATTATTCAGAAATTGGCAGCCTATAAGTTGTATCTTGCTGGTAGTTGTGTTCTGTTTGATCCATACAAAATTTAAAATGTGCAATTTTTGAAATTAATTTCCAACCACAAAATACTGGAATATTTCCCAAAAATCTGAATTTCTGATTTTTTTTGGAAGTCTTGGCAGAGCCAGGCCTACAATTTATATGCCAACAACAGGTTGGAGCTGAGTAGTGTCTCCCTCCCTTAGCAAAGGCATACTCTGCAGTCCACTGGGGGCCACCTGACCTGCTGCGTCCATTCATTTGATCTGCCTGGCATGGGTAGGCATTTGAGTTTTTGACCCCCATTTTAAATGCTCAATTTAGTGATACATTTTGGAATAATGTATGAATAAATCTTCTAGACTTAGGAATTCACTAATTTTTTTTTTCTAACTCGGCATCATTATTTTGCTTAATAAAGTACCACTGAATGATGTTATTGATGTATGGGATTTAGAAATAATTGGTATTAAGCTAGGTCTGCTCTCTGAAGACTTAATGTTTTTATCAGTTTCTGCCTTCAAATATGAAACATTTTTTTTATTCCAATTAATAAGATTACTGTAAGTAGACATGGCAGTGCAACAGATATCAAAGATGAGAGAGAAAGTAAAAAGCTAAGTTTTTTAATTCCCTGCCATTGTTTTCAATTTCTGGGTGTAGGGTATCTTAATTCACTGTTGTCTGTGAACCCCTGGTAAAGAATTTCTGCTTTAGCAGGACAGAGGAAAATACTTATGGTGATAGACACATACACATACACACACACACACACGTAATATATAGTACAAAAAAAAAAAAAAAAATTCAAAAGCTCTGGTGGCATAATGCCTAATGCATTTGACTGCTAACCAGAAGGTTGGCGGTTCAAACAACCAGCTGCTCTGTGGAAGGAAGACTGGGGAATCTACTTCTTGAAGAGTTACCACCTCAGAAACCCAAAGGGGGTCACTGTAAGTTAAAATCGACTTGATGGCAGTGAGTTTTTTGGTTTGACATCGAGTCGATTTTGACTCATAGCAACCCCATAGAGTTTCTGACCTTGTAATTCTTTACAAAAGCAGACTGCCTCATCTTTCTCCTGTGAAGTGGCTAGTGATTTTGAACCACTGACCTTTTGGTTAGCAGTCAAATGCCTTAGGCATTAAATCACATGTGTAAACAGAAATTATATCAGCAAGCAAATATGTATTTATGATTGGTGTTAATGGTATAAAGGAATATGGTAACTTGAAAATGTGTTAACAGGGAGAACTAATTTAACTGACAGACAAAGTTTAAGGACATGACATTAAAGCTTAGACCTGCAGCTGTTAGTCAAGGGGCAAGTTTGGGAATGGTACAGACCCAGGACACAACTTGTACAGAGACCTCAAGGAAAGAAAAAGACTTGGCATATTTAAGGAAATGAAAATGCCAGAGCCAAGAGTAAAGAGAACAATAGAGAGCTGGTTAACAGATGTAGAAACTGTAATTTCAAAGCAAAGAGAAGGGCATGTACAACTCTGATGAACGTTGCTGCAAGGTCAAGTACGACAGGACTGAGAACTAAACATTAGATTAATAGACATTGGTGATTTTAGTAAAAGTCATTTTGGTAGATTGATAGGTATGGAAGCCAAATCCTGCTGTTAAAAAGTAAGAGATGAAGTAGAGATAATATGCAGGTAACTTAGCTTACATGTGAAAGGATGATGGAAAGTGTCCAGCAGCTAGAGAACGATTAATGAGGTGATTACTTAAAGTAGATATAGGTTTAAGGATTGTTTTATAAAATGGGATATGCTAAAGCATCTTTGAATTCTGAGTAGGATCTAGTAGAGAGGGAGAGGTTGAAGATTCGGGAAGAGTGGATAACTGAAAGAGTGAAGTGTTTGATAGGCAGAGGTAGGTAGAATCACACAGTATAGGATAAGTACAGATGAAGATATTTCTTTATCATGACATTTCATTTAATTAAGAAGTGACATCTGGCTGAGAGTGAGAGGGGGATCACAGGCTAAGGAAGGCTGAAATAGTTCTGTGGAAAATGAGACATGAAACTGATCAGAGAAACATATTAAGATTGCAAGGCCATGCTGGGAGGCCTAATGAAGTTGGTGATAGTGACTTTAGAGTGTTGATTTTTATATCTGAATATCATATTTATGGGTATAGATACCATTTTCTACTTACAAATATATGTAAGAAATGAAAGATGTCAGAAAAATTACTGTAAGGCATAAAGGTGAGAGTAACAAAGGTTGTTCAGGACCCTGGACTATAATCACATAGGTTAAATAAGCTGGAGCAGAGTATTTAATTTTTTGATTTTTAATTTTAAAACCAGGAAAAGCTGAGCAGGATCTATTCCCTGTTTGACAAGAACCAAACTCTTGTTTGTCCGAATTTGCACCATATTTTTCATTTAAATAACAGAACTGAATTGGTTATACACTATAGATATTTATAAGATGCACTGAAATTGCAACATTGGAATTTAGGAAAGCACAAATGTACACTTTGGGACCAAGTTCTTTGTTTTCATTCACTGATACACCCTGAATACTCAAAGTAGCCCAATTTCTAGTTAAGGTGCTAGCAGTTAAAAAACAAAATAGGACTTTTAAATGATGTTATTATCAATTTATTAATTGATCATGTAACCTTTTTGCCATGATGGCTGGTTTTGTTTCAGAGCTATTTATGAAGAAATTGATGTTCATCACCACAAAAGAGCTCAAAGTCACACTGATTGTTGAGGTAAAAACTTTTAGTTTACACAGTTTACATACCACATTGTCCATCATTTCAGTGCAGCTGTCACGTCCTATAAATATTTTCATTAGGGCCATCTGAGACTATATTTTGGTGACTGAAATATCATTAGAAAAGTTCCTCTTAATCACTCAAATGATAATAAGCTATTGTTCACTAATGAAATACATTCTTTGTAGTGTTTTCAACTAGAAATAATGAGGCTTGGTAATGCAGATGTTAGTTTACAGTATATAAATGCCATTAGTGATAACAAAATAGATTATCAGTAGAAACTTAACCCTGAAATCATGCTTTTGTCCTTAATGTGCAGTCAATACCTGTTAATTGGTCCTGGTAGAACCAGGGAGCTGGCTGGGGGGTGACAGTGGTGGTAGCTCATAGCAGCTCAAGGGGGCAGATGGACCAGGAAGCTGGCCAGGGGCAGCAGCAGTGCGGTTCAGAGCAGCTTGAGGGAGGAGATAGACCAGGAAGTGGGATGCACAGTGGTTCAGAGCAGCTGAGGGAGACCAGAAAGTGAGTGAAGTGTTTGGAACCGCTAAGGGAGGCAAACTTTTATGTTAGTTTGTCCTACTGTAGTGGCTTGCACGTTGCTGTGAAGCTGAAGGCTATGCCACTGGTGTTTCAAATGATAGCAGGTGGTGGACAGGTTTCAGCAGAGCTTCCAGACTAAGACAGACTGGGAAGAAGGAAGAGGCCATCCACTTCTCAAAGAATTGCCGAGTGGAAACCTTATGAATAGCAGTGAAACACTGTCTGATTTATTACTGGAAAACTTTATGAATAACGCTGTAACACTGTCCAATACACTGCCAGAAGATGAGCCCCTCAGCTCAGAGGGCACTCAAGATATGACTGGGGAAGAGCTACCTCCTCAGAGTAGAGCTGACTTTAATGAAGTGGATAGAGCAAAGCTTTTGGGGCCTGTTTGCTGACATGGCATGACTCAAAATGAGAAAAAACAGCTGTTAACATCCATTAATAACTGGAACATGGAATGTATGAAGTATGAATCTAGGAAAACTGGACTTGTCAAAAATGAAATAGAACACATAAAGATCAATATCCTAGGCATCAGTGAGCTGAAATGGACTGGATTTAGCCATTTTGAATCAGACAGCCATATGATCTACTATGCTGGGAATGACAATTTGAAGAGGAATGGCATGGCATTCATCATAAGAATGTTTCAAGAGCTATCCTGAAGTATAGTGTTGTCAGTGGTAGGATAATATCCATATTATTATTATAAGGAAGACCAGTTAATACTACCACTATTCAGATTTACACATCAACCACCAAAGCCAAAGATGAGGAAATTGAAGATTTTTACCAACTTCTGCAGTCTGAAATTGACTGAACATGCAATCAAAATGTGTTGATTATCACTGGTGATTGGAATGCAAAAGCTGGTAACAAAGAAGAATCGCTGGTAGTTGGAAAATATGGCCTTGGTGATTGAAGTAATGCTGGAGAGCGCATGATAGAATTTTGCAACACCAATGACTTACTCATTGCAAATACCTTTTTTCAACAACACAAATGGCAGCTATACAAGTGGACTTCACCAGATGGAGTACATAAGAATCAGATTGACTGCATCTGTGGCAAGAGGTGATGGAGATGGTCAGTATCACCAATGACTAAAAACCAGAAGATTGTGAGATGACATCAAGAACATCATCCATGAAGACAGCAAAAGGTCATTAAAAAGACAGGTAAGGAAGAAAACACCACAATGGTTGTAAGAAGAGACTCTGAAACTTGCCTCTGAATGGAAAGTAGCTAAAGCAAATGGAAGAAATGACAAGATAAAAGAGCTGAACACAAGATTTAAAATAGCAGCTTGAGAAGACAGTCAATTATTATAATGAAATGCACAAAGACCTGGAGTTAGAAAACCAAAAGAGAAGAACACACTCAGCATTTCTCAAGCTGAAAGCACTGAAGAAAAAATAGAAGCCCCGAGTTGCAATATTAAAAGAGTCTATGGACAAAATATTGAATGATGTAGGAAACATCAAAAGAAGATGGAAGGAATACACAAAGTCATTGTACCAAAAAGAACTAGTCAATGTTCATCCCTTTCAGGAGGTGGCATATGATCAAGAACCAATGGTAATGAAGAAGTCAAAGCTGCACTGAAGGAGTGGTGAAAAACAAGGCTCCAGGAATTGACAAAATACCCATTGAAATGTTTAAACAAATGGATGCTGCACTGGAGGCACTCACTCAGCTATGCCAAGAGATTTGGAAGACAACTACTTGGCCAACTGACTGGAAGAGATCCATATTTGTACCCATTTGAAAGAAAGGTGATTCCACAGAATGTGGAAATTATCGAACAGTATCATTAATATCACATGCAAGTAAATCTTACTGAAGATAATTCAAAAATGGTTGCAGTAATATATTGACAGAGAACTTCCAGAAATGCAAGCTGGACTCAGAAGAGGACATGGACTGAGGGATATCATTGCTGATGTCAGATGGATCTTGGCTCAAAGCAAAGAATACCAAAAAGATGTTTGTGTTTTATTGACTATGCACAAGCATTCCATTGTGTGGATCATAACAAATTATGGATAACACTGAGAAGAATGGGAATTCCAGAACACTTAATTATACTCATGAAGAACCTATACATAGACCAGGAAGCTGTCGTTAGAACAGAACAAGGGGATACTCCATGGTTTAAAATCAGTAAAGGCGTGCATCAAGGTTTTATTTATCCTTTCATCATACTTGTTCAATCTATATGCGAAACAAATAATCCAAGAAGCTGGACTATATAAAGAATGTGGCATCAGGATTGGAAGAAGACTCATTAACAATCTACGATACACAGACAACACAACTTTGCTTGCTGAAAGTGAGAATGACTTGAAGCACTTACTAATGAAGATTAAAGACTATAGTCTGCAGTATGGATTATACCTCAATATAAAGAAAAAAAAAAAATCCTCACAACTGGACCAATAAGCAGTATCATGATAAATGAAAAAAAGATTGAAGTTGTCAAAGACTTCATATTACTTGGTTCTACAGTCAACACCAATGGAAGCAGCAGTCAAGACATTAGATGACGTAGTGCATTGGGCAAATTTGCTGCAAAAGACCTCTTTCACGTGCTGAAGAGCAAAGATGTCTCCTCAAAGACTAAAGCATGCCTAACCCAAGCCATGGTGTTTTCAGTCACCTTGTATGCATGTGAGAGCTGGACAGTGAATAAGGAAGAATGAAGAATAGTCAATGCTTTTGAGTTTTGGTGTTGGTGAAAAATACTGAGAGTACCACAGACTGCTAAAACAACTAACAAATATGTCCTGGGAGAAGTGCAGCCAGAATGTTCCTTGGAAGTTAGAATAGCTAGACTTCATCTCACCTACTTTGGTCATGTTGTCAGAAGGGACCATTCCCTGGAGGATATCATGCTTGGTAAAGTGGAGAGTCAACAGAAAAGGGGAAGGCCCTCAATGAGATGGATTGACACAGTGGCTGCAATGATAGGCTCAGGTATAGCAAGGATAGTGAGGCTGGCACAGGACCAGGCAGTGTTTCATGGTGTTATGCATAAGGTCGCTATGAGCTGAGATGACTCAGTGGCACCTAACAACAACAGAACCCATTCATTGTTAGTCTTCCAGATAGGTCTGGATTCTTCCTATTTACTGTCTAATGCTCCAGATGCATTAATTATCCCATTTAATTACTAACAGCAAGCTGTTAGCCTTTTTTATTCTCACACTTTCCTCCACCAATGGAAAAAGTAAATTCTCACTTTTCTATTACTGTCTTGCTTTCTAGCTTCCCAGTAGAGAAAGATGAGGAAAAGTTATCAAAGAATGGAGAAAAACAAGAGGATAGAGATGACTGACTACCTTCTCTCTGTTGTAGGCAAAACTGGACTACCAGCTCACAAGCCACATCAGGAGTACCAATTCTCTAATGGCTAGACCCTGCCCAAAGTCTGGAAGATAAGACCTACCAGTAGGTCAAAGCCATGGTGGATACTGGAATATTTCTCCTCTACAATAATGAAGTTTCAATAGGAGAGTAATAGTTCCAGGGGAACATTAATGATTCTGGACAACAGCTTAAGATTTATCTCAAAAGAATTTGTTTGTGACATATATTCACTTAAAACTTCAGCTGAAGAAAAATATATTATACTTCAGCCATCCAGTTTGATTTCAGGGTCTTAGGTTGTACTAGTCTTCCTACATTTTAGAAAATAAATTATCAGAAAGAAATCATCACACAGTTGTGATAAAAGTAGATGAAGATTCCTTTTTACAAAGTAATTCTGAATAGATGTAAGCATAAAATGTGAGAAACTAAAGGTATTATCCAGGGAAATTACTGAGTGCCTTCAATTAACTAAAATTGAATGTGAAAGTCAGTTTGCACTTCTCTATAAGTAATACTCTTGTTCAGAATTATGAATTGTAAAAGCCTTGATGATTGTAAACATCACTGGACTCTGCATCAAGTTGCCTTTAATTTTGATTCTTTATAATACTTTTTTTAAAACAGTAATTTAATATTTCTATTTAGAACAAAGATTTTACTGAGAAACGTTCAGAATAAATTGTGCATTAGTTGACATAAATTACAAGACAAATAAATTACTATTAAAATAATTTAATGTATCCTTTTTACAGAGTTTGTTCACAAAAGATCTTCGGATACCAGTACATGTACACAACCCTACATTTAAACATTCAGAGACTTCAAACTGTGACAGTAAATCCCAGAAGTCTGACAGATATATTTACATATTTTATTTCAATTTCATGGTACCATAATTTCAAAGTAATTATCTATTCATTACTATGATTGTAAAATAGCCCTAGACCTTAAAACATAAAGTAGAATTTGAAATAAGAATGCAATCTTTGGACAAGTTATTTAGTGATTCCTCTTTCATGTTGAGCTTTTAAAATAATGACTTCAATGTGAACACACTGAAGGCAAGTAGTAACCAACTATTTTCAAGATAATAAATATGGTTAGAAGTCCTGGTTTAGCCTAAAATAAATAAGATTAGGTATAAATTTTTTAAAAAATTCTCAGATTAATGCTATTAAGTATGAAGGGCCAATAATTTGAAAGAGATCTACTACTAACTTAAACTGTAACGTTAAATCCATGCCTGCATATTTAAAAAGCAAAGCAGTTTCTTTTAATACTACTATCAGACTCTTAAGTTTGGTAGTGAACAGTCATACATTCCAAAGAGGCACTATGGGTTCCTTATGGTATAGGCTAATCTTGTTTTCTGAATTTTAAGTGGGGTAAATTAGTTGGCGGAGGGGAGGAGGGTAGAACCATCAGTACATGATAATTTAGTAACATTATAGAATTACTTCTCCGAGAAGGCCAAAAATCACAAATCACAAACAAGATTGTTGACATCAGTTATAGCCTGGAACTGGCAACTTGTGGCCTTCTTTAGCTTCAAAAAAAGTATAAGAAAGAGTAATAAGATCAACATTCAACATTCTTGGATCTTCAGCAAATTCGGGATCAATGTAGAAAAATACTGGCATATCTACTTCCTCTTGTGGATTAAGTCTTTGTTCTTCAAAACAGAAGCACTAGAAGTTATAGAAAGATATAATTTAATAACATTTCTATTACTATAACAGAAACTAAGAAAATAGTTAATTGCCTTTCATAAGCATACTTTTAAGTACTGTGATGGACTAATGCCATCATTTCATCTCAAACTGAGCTCTGCTTTAGGGGTTTAGAATCAACAAATTATGTCTTCTAATCTTAAAAGCAGATACCTGTTTGATTTGGCTTTCAGTCTTTACACAGCTGATGTGAAAGGGGGAAAACATGCAGCTTGAAATTTAGGAAAATATGTGTTTTCAGAAATTATAAGTGTCTACTAAAACCTAAAACACTGAAGCAAATTGAGCATTAAACAGTTTCATGTGCCTTTATCATATTCTACAAAGTTTGCAGATAGTTGTACCTGTATTTTATTGAAATACTGTCCAGCTTCAAATGGCACAACATTGTAGGTAGAAATTCCGATTACTGGTTTATCAGTAGGATTCTTAGCTTTATAAAAAGCCAGCGCAGTCTCTCCTGGCACTACCTGTTTTAAAGAAAATATATATTATCAATACTTAAAATCTCACATGGTTCTTTTCACTACTAACTTATCCTCAGAATATTTTCCTCATTTATAAGATAATACCTACTTTAAACTAATGTGAGTCAGCAAAATAAATTGTGAATATTACCCATATACATAGCTGAGTTTCAAATTTTATTTGCATGGATCAATGAGGAACTAATGTTCTGTTATGCATAATTGTTGTTAGGTGCCATCTAGTCAGTTTCAACTCATAGCAACTCTATGTACAACAGAACAGAACACTGCCTGGTCCTGCACCGTTCTTACAATCATTGCTATGCTTGAGCCCACCACTGCAGCCACTGTGTCAATCCATTTCGTTGAAGATCTTCCCCTTTTTTACTGACCCTCTACTTTACCAAGCATGATATCATTCTGCAGGGACGGGTCTCCCCTGACAATGTAACTAAAGTATGAGAAATGACGCCTGGCCATTCTCCATTCTAAAGAAAATTCTGGCTGTACTTCCTTCAAAATAAACCTGTTCATTCTTCTAGCAGTCTATGGTACATTCGATATTCTTCACCAACACTGCAATTCAAATGCGTAAGTTCTTCTGCAGTCTTTTCACTTGCATATAAAGCTATTAAAAATACCATGGCTTAGGTCAGGTGCATCTTAGTCTTCAAAGTGACAGCTTTGCTTGAAAACACTTGTTCTGGTTACCTAGTGCCGCTCTGAAGAGAAATATACCACAAATGGGATGGCCTTAACAAAGAGGAGTTTATTCTTACAATTTGGAGGCTTTACGTCCAAGTTCAAAGTGCCAGGCTCTAGGGGCTGGGTGAAAGCCCCTCAACCTTGGGGTCCAGCTCTGCCTTCTGCTCCCAGCCCACTGGAGCTAGAGGTATTTCTTCAAATAGACAGCTGCTGGCTGCTGAGGCCGAGAAGCCCCAAGGTTGACAAAAAGGCACAGTCCCAATGTTACCAAACCACACGGCAGGCCATTAACTTAAGTCCATTTTAAGTCCCAAGGTCGGCAGAGCATAGCAGGCTGCTGAGCCATGACGCAGCTACATGCAGGGTCCAAGCACGCCATAGGCTAGAGACCATTCTCAAAGCTCCTGCTTATATACAGAAAACAGATGACTTACCCAAAGGCAGCTTACTCAGCTGCTTGTGGTAGATCCTACCATGGAGCTGATTGATAGTCTCATCATGGGGAATACTACCACCAGCTGCCCAGCCGGTCAACCAGGCCCAGCTAAGTTGACAGACAAACGTAACTACCACAACGCTTTAAAGGGGTCTTTTGCAGCAAATTTGCATAATTAGTTATGAATTATCCTTTTGTATATCTGAAGTCTTCAAGTAGTAATCTGCAAATTAAGTTATTTAAAATGTGTTCATGGACAAGCCTAGCCTTCTACAGCCCAAGCCTAAATTCTTGGTAATATTTCTATTTGAGTAACAGTATATAGCTGACTAAAGGAAAAGTTTTAAAGGAAACCACCATTAAACTGAGCTTCCTTACAACCAGAATAAAACTCTAACTGAATAGAACCTTTATTTAACCAAAAAGCTTTCAATCTGCTTTGAGAAAACAGGCAATAGCAAAGGTTTTTTAAAAAAATCAATTTCCAAAGAATGTTTTGTCATGTGTAACAATTCAGCCACTGATACCTTGTATACTATTGTTCTGGTTAGGATGGCTTTAACAAAAGAAGAGTTTATTCTCTTACAGTTTGGAGGCTTTAAGTCTGAGTTCAAAGTGCCAGGCTCTAGGGGCTGGGTGAAAGCCCCTTGACTCTGAGCTTCAGCTCTGCCTCCTGCTCCCAGTCCACTGAAGCTGTAGGCATTTCTTTACTCACACAGCTGCTGGCTGCTGAGGCTGACAAACCCAAGGTTGATAAGTGAAAAGGCACAGTCCCAATGTTACCAACCACATGGCAGGCTATTGATTCAAGTCACTGAAAGTCCCAAGATCAGCAGAGCATGGCAGGCTCCTGAACAACGACTCAGCTACAGCAGGGTTCAAGCGTGCCATAAGCTAGAGACCATTCCCAAAGCTGCTGCTTATATATGGGAAACAGACCACATCCCTAAAGCAGCTGCTCTTGTGGTGGATCCCACCATGGAGTTGACTGACCATCTCATCATGGGAAGTAACTACCACCAGCTGCCCAGGCACTCAACCAGCCCCAGCCAAGCTGACACACAACCTTAACTACCACAACTACCATATATATGGAATAAACATTAAAAAAAAAATTAACTTAGAGAATCCTCAATCATTGACGAATCAGACATGTTTACTCACCTAGGGATGCACTAATATTTTTAAGAGTTTTCCAGAAGGGCTGAAATTCAGTCTTTCTGGTTAATCCTCAGTTAATGAGATGATTTCAATTAAATACTCCTTAGGTTCAAGTTATTCAAGATCTTTTTAGAAAACCTTTTTAGGTATAGTATACATAACTATTTAGTACAACTAAAGCTCTTCAATTTTTTCATTTGTTTAGAGGGACAGGGATACTTTTCATCACAACCAATGATTTTCAACAATTTTCCTGTATCATCCACACCTGAGGAACAACCAGCACTATGCCTGATAGCTACAGCTACTCTAGAAATTAGTGACCAGAAGACTATTTAGTGAACTCCTAATATTATTCTTAAAGAAACAGATGACATTTTCCTGTTCTTTCAAAATGAGTTTTACTGTAATAGTATGTAACTTAAAAGTTAAAGTTTATTCTGCCACCTTAGATGTAGGGCACTATCCCTACAATGAAGTCTCTCAGGATTTTGAAATTAAGTTTACATGAGTGTTTCCTAAACTATGAAACAGTTTAAGTGACAAAAGAAATTTTTACACTGAAAAAGTAATCTTCATTTAATTGCATCAATCACTTACATATATTTCAGTTTGCTGAGGTCTAAAGTTCCACTGGAGACTTGCATGCACATCTGCATTAAAGGTAACTTTAATGATGCGATCCTTAACAGGCACCATGGTTTCAATCTGGTCTGATGCATGGCCTGCTACTGCTGATCCTCCAAGTCCAGTAGTCTACAAAAAGATAGGAAAGTGGCAGATAATACTTTCAGGTGCTGATGATTTATTGGATAAAAATAAAATTTTAAAAGCCAACTTTATTCAATTAACTTTAATAATCTAGTTGAAGCCAGGTTTATATTATTATTGTTGTTGTTTGCCATCGAGTCGGCCCCGACTCATAGCGACCCCTCCTTGGGTTTCCGAGGCAGTATCACTACGGAAGTAGGATTGCCCAACCTTCCTTCCGAGAGGTTTATATACTATCACGAATCAATTCCTATGTCTGTGTCAATGGTTTTGCCACTTTTAGGGTAACAGGGGCCTATTGGTAAAGTCATCTGTATTTACGCAATCCCTTGGTGATCTGGCAAGATCAAAAATGAGTCACTTGAAAGAAGCTGAGTCTCTAGATAAGTGAAATATTATCACTGATAATAGAGCTCAGAATTTTTAGCTTATTAAATATACTTTATTGCTAGTATTTCACATTAATTATTCATTAATAGAAATAAAATTTACCCATGACCTAGTCATTTCAATTAAATTATTTAAAAAAAATTTTTTTTAATGATCCTCCATTGTCCTTTTCCATCTCAACTTTTACAGCCCAAATTAGCTTGTAGCTTCATTCTTGCAGTTTGCTTTTCTTTGGCAGCATCATGAGTATTTTCCCATGTTGGTTCTTTTCATGTATTTGTCTGCATAATACAACTTTTATAGACATCACCAGTTAACCAAAGCACCTAATCCCTTTGGCCAATTAATCAGCTAATCATAGGGCATCAGGATAACCTGTGTCTGACACTTCTTGCCTATTTCCACTGTCATTATTTATCAGAGATGCTTTAAAAAAAAAAAAAAAAAAATCCTTACTTCCAAGGTCATCACTCTTCTGATGCTTGAGGTTGCCAGAATTCTGGTCTCCAGATACTTAACCTGTTAACTATACTAGGAAAAAAAAAACAAAAATTGAGGCTGGGGGAAGACTCCCAGCAAAAAAAAAAAAGTATTACTATTTTCTTCCTTACTTAAGTCAACTAGCTTCATTCCACTGCTATACAACATTATCAAATTACATTATGACCCTAATTGATGTATTAGAACAAATCTTGATTTTCCTTTAATATAGTCGTCTACCTAAAAAAAAAACAAAAAAAGTGCTGTCTGAGATTTAAGATGTAACTCCTTTTCCAGAAGAAGTTTTGAAAGTCATTTGAAAAAAAAAAAAAAAAATTAACTGCTCCCAAAAAGATTCCTTAATGTCATTTTCCTGACAGGCAGTCTTTGAATACAGATTTTTCAAATTTTTAAGTCCAATGCTTAGAGAAATGAAAAGATACCAAAGTGGGAAGGGGGGAAGCAAAAGAGATGCAACTGCGGCATCTTTTAGGAAATGTCACTATTAAAGTTTAGTTACATTTTTTTCCCCTTTCCCATCTTCTCATCTCTCCCCACTTAAAACACACGTGGTGGTTGTATACCTTCTATTCTGACTCATAGTGACACAATATGACAGAGTAGAACTGCACCAGAGGGTTTCCTAGGCTGTAAATCTTTACTGGAACAGATGCACCAGGCCTTTTCTCCTCAGAGCAGCTGGTTAAGTTTGAACCACTAATGTTTAGGTTAGCAACCGAGTGCTTAGCCATTGCACCACCAGGGCGCCTTACAATACACATATGCACACACACAATACTGTCAAGTACTTCTGTTTGGGTAGGGTTTCTTAGCCCTGGCACTACTGACATTTGGGGCTGTATAACTCCTTGCTGGGGGAGATTATAGTGCACACTGCAGACTGTTTAGAAGTATCCCTGGCCTCTACCTACTACATGCCAGAAGCAGACTCTGTCCTCTAGCGGTAACAACCAAAATTATCTCTAGACATTGTCAAATATCCTCTGGAGGACAAAACCACCCCCTATCCCTGCCTCTTAGTGGTTTGAGGACAATCCATACTTGCTATTTTGGATTCAGTTCCGCTTATGGTTTAACCAATATAGGTTTTGGGGTTCATGCTTGGTCCAGGCTGGTCTTCAATGAAACTACTTCAGATTTTACACTCATCCTCCCAACATCAAGCTACTTAATTTCCTACTCAAATGCTGTTAAAAAGAGATTGAAAAGCCCTTTTGACTTCTGCTTCAATCACCATCAAAAGGAAAGGCAAGTTGATCTCCGTTAAGGACAGCGGAAATAAGCCAAGCATCAATGATGGCAAAGAAGAGCAGTAACCCCTGCTAAGAATATCAGTCATGACGTTAAGCTAGTGATTCCCAACCTTTGCTACACATTGAAACTCCTTGACAAATTTAAAATGCCTGATCCACCCCCCGTCCAGATTTATTCGTTGTTGTATGGTGCCTTCTAATCAGTTCTGACTCATAGCGACCCTATGCACAAGAGAACAAAACTGCCTGGTCCTCACCATCTTTGCTATGCCTTTACTGTACCATCCTCACCGTCTTTGCTATGCCCCTCCCTGCAGCCACTGTGTCAATCCATCTTTCCCTTCTTTGCTAACCCGCTCCTTAACCAAGCATTTTTTTCTCCAGTGACTGGTTCTCTCTGACAAGATCAAAGTAAGTGAAGTCTGGCCAATGTTTCTAAGGAGCATTCCAGCTGTACTTCTTCCAAGACAGATTTATTCCTTCTTCTGGTATTTTCAGTATCCTTCGCCAAAACCACAATTCAAATGCATCAATTTTTCTCTGGTCTTCCTTATTCATTGTCCAGCTTTCACATACATGCTGTTGTTAGTTGTTGTTATGTGCTGACGAGTTATCTCCGACTCACGGTGGCTTTGTGTACAACAGAACGAAACACTGCCTGGTCCTGTGCCAGCCTCACGATCCCTACTATACCTGAGCCCATCACTGCAGCATTGTGTCAATCCATCTTCTTAAGGGCCTTCCCCTCTTTTATTGACCCTCCACTTTACCAAGCATGACATCCTTCTCCAGAGAATGGTCCCTTTTGACATGACCAAAGTAGGTGAGACGAAGTCTGGCCAGTGTCACTTCCAAGGAGCATACCAGCTGCACTTCTTCCAGGGAAGATCTCTTAGTTTTTTTAGCAGTCCATGGTATTTTCAGTATTCTTCGTCAACACTACAACTCAAAAGCATCAACTCTTGTTTACTCTTCATTATTCATTGTCCAGCTCTCACATGTATATGAGCCGAATGAAAATACCATGGCTTGGGTTAGGTGCATCTTAGTCTTCAAGGAGATATCTTTGCTCTTCAGCACTTTAAAGAGGTCTTTTGCAGCAGATCTGATGTTTTCATTGCTGCTTCCATTGGTGTTGACTGTAGAACCAAGTAATATAAAGTCTCTGACAACCTCAATCTTTTCTCCATTTATCATGATACTGCTTATTGGTCCAGTTGTGAGGATTTTGGGTTTTTTTTTCTATACTGAGGTGTAATCCATACTGCAGATGGCAGTCTTTAGTCTTCATCAGTAAGTGCTCCAAGTATCCTCACTTTCAGCAAGCAAATTTGTGTCATCAGCGTATCACAGATTGTTAATAAACCTTCTTCCAATCCTGATGCCACACCCTTCTTCCTGTAGTCCAGCTTCTCAGATTATTTGCTCAGCATACAGATTTCATAAGTATGGTGGAAGGACACACTGACACACTCCCTTCCTGATTTTAAACCATGCAGTATCCCCTTGTTCTAACTACAGCCTCCTGGTCCATGTACAGGTTCCTCTTGAGCACAATTAAGTGTTCGGGAATTCCTAGTCTTCTCAATGTTATCCACAATTTGTTATGATCCACACAATCGAGTGCCTTTGCACAGTCAATAAAACACAAGTAAACATCTTTCTGGTATTCTCTGCTTTGAGCCAAGATCTATCTGACATCAGCTATGAATATGAGGCCCCTGATAATAATACCATGGCTTGGGTCAGGGGCACCTTAGTCTTCAAAGTGACACCTTTGCTCTTTAGGCGTTAATCTTTGCAGCATATTTGCCTCGTGTAATACATCATCTTATTTCCTGACTCCTGATTTAATTAGTAAAAGGCCTAATTCATGGCTCTTTACAAAGATGAACAACAAATCTAGGTTTAAGCACAACTAACAAGAGACCAAGTATAGTCCACAGAATGCACAAATACTATATAAATCACATTTTGAAAACGGGCATATGTGTGAGCAGCTAAGGTTAGGCAGGCTGCTGGAGTTACCAGAGGGCAGACTGTGGACCTTTTCGGCGGGTGTAGTTTAGGGACTAGAGATTTTCAATCTGTTTTAGAAATGAAACGTATGTAAGCACATTCCCGAGCAGGACGTGAGCCCTGTCTGCAGCTCTGCTACTCAATTTCTTGGTGACCCTGGGTTGGTCACTCTTTTGAGTCCTTTTCCACTCTGGTAAAATCCAACTATGACACCGTGGAGGGATCGCCCTCGAGGGATCTGTCCTGCACCAGCGCCCCTACTGATCGTGCCGCGCAGTTGACAGCACCAGCCCCTACCTGGCAATAAAGTCGATAAAGGGGCACAGCTGCGTAGGACGCCCCCAGCATGCCCACGGCGGCCGCAGTCACGTACGTCAGGACAGTCTTGTTTCGCCGCCGCCAATCCTCCTCCTGCGCCCGAGTGAAAGGGTTAGTTCTCTTCGTCCGCCTTGGCGGCTGCGAAGTAAAGTCCTGGGTCATCCTCCGGCGCCCCCACGTCCCGAGCCGCCTCAGCCCCCTTTCAGCACTGCCTGTTCCCCTGCTCCACAGCCTAAGAAAAGGCTCTACGCCCTCTCCAGTCCTGGTCACGGACCCAGCGTAACTCCACCGCCAACCACACAAAACGACGTGCCTCCATCCTGTAAGCCAGGACCCTCCCATAGTGTCCGAAAAGAACACCCGCCTGCTAGAGTGAAAAGATTAGATCTCGCGAAACCTGCCTATTCTCGCGATATCTGGGTTAAACCCGCCGCTGCCTTTGCTACAGGCACTTGAGGTGACGGCCCTTGGAGTCGAGCTACGGAGGCCGGGTTGCCAGATTGCGGGTAAGTTCGCGTTTTGCTTCTTGAGTGTCAGTCTTTGTTTGCGTCCCTTCAGTTTCTAACTAATTTTTAGGAAGGCGCTTTGGCTCTTCCTCCTGCAAGTTTGGATCATCACTGGGGATGTTCGCTTGATCTCAGACTCCACCCGCCTTTGTCTCAACTTAGCGGCCCCCAGCGGCAGCTCTCCTGCGGCCCTTTTACCTGGGGTGTTCTGGCCCCCTGCCAGCCGCTTACTGCCATTGGCTTGGATTCAAGGATCACCTAGCCCAGAAAGCCTTCCTGGGTTAACTACAGCCCTCTTGGCCACTGTCAACATCTGCATTTCTTCAGCTCCTGGGAAATCTGCTTCTACTTGCTCTGATACCTCTTTACTTCTTACTTTTGCTTCTGGAGCGGCAGGGGAGAAAAAAAAAAGGGATGTTGTTGAACTCAAGTTCCTACAGAGTAGAGTGACCAGTATATTAGGGTCACTTACAGAAGGATTGAAGGCAATAGGAATGTTCATCTTGGAAAAGAAACCTTGATAGATATAATAGCTTGCTTCGCTTGTCCCAGCTGACAAGCCAGGACTTGAGGGGGAAAGATGCCACAGCCGATTCTACTTTAATAGAAGGACGCATCTTTCTAGGAGCTGTGAAGTAGTGGTTAAGAGCTCGGGTTCTGAGGTTAGGCAGTTCTGGATTCACACCACGGTCCTCACTACTCGCCCTTTGTGATTAGGCGAGTAACCACATTTGTAGCCTTATTTGTAGAATGGGAATCATAATAACCAAAAACCAAACTCACTGCCTTGGAGTCTATTCGACTCAGCAACCATTCTTTGGATTTCTGAGGCGGTATCTCTGTGGAAGTAGATTGCCAAATCTTCCTTCCCAGGAGTTGCTGGCAGGTTTGAACCGCCAGGCTTCAGATTAGCAGTCAAATGCCTTAGGCACTACACCACATGAATATTAATACAAAGTCATTTTCACCATAACAGAGGCATAGTAAAAACTGAGTAAAAGTTAGACTTTCTTTCTGATGGCCAGAGCAGGTATGATTATCTCCATTTTATGGATGAGGAAACTGAAAGCCTGAGAAGTTAAGTAACTTAAAGTCATTCAACATAAATGTGTGTATTGCACTTTTATTTCAGGCCGGAGGCTTCAGCACAGAACAAGTCAGTCAAGATTACTTTTGTTATGGAGAATACATTCAGGGACTCCGTGTACTAAGGGACTCAGGAAATAAGCAATAAGCATAGGAATTTCAGATAACAATCAGTACAATGAAGACAGTGGAATAGGATACTGTGATAGAGAGTAATGAAAAGGAGTAGTAGGAAAGTCTTTCTGAAGAAGTGACATTTGATCCAAGTCCTGAATGATAACAAGGAGCTACCTGTGCAATTCTAGCCAGTTCTGACCCAGAGTCAACGAGCTGGAGATGACTGAAGAACAAAAAGGAGGTTGGTGTGTTCCTAACATAGTGAGCAGGGAGGAGAGTGGTAGGAAATAAGGTCAGAGCAGGTGCACAGGGAAAATAAGACAGAGCCTTTTAGGCCATGTCCAAGGGTTTGGATTTCATTCTGTAAGTAATAGGAAGCTATTGAAATGTTTTAAGCATGTAAAGGGCATAATCTGGTTCATATTTTTACAAAAATATTGGTTACTTTGTGAAGAGTGGATTACATGGGAGCAAGAATGGAAGTAGATCAGTTAGGATGCTATTGCACTAGTCCAAGTGAGTGATGATGGTCACCTTGAATGAGTAATTGATTAACTTGTGCTCACAGGGCTGGAAACTTGTGGAGCCAGTAAAATCCAAGTCTCTTCTGAACCCTTTCTCTTTCAAAAATTTGAAGAAGATGATGCTAAAAAAATTATTTATATTCTTTAATAGGAATGTTTGAAAATGTTTTTCATCCATATGTACCTTGGTCTTGTTCCAGATTGCACTCTCCTTCAGGACAAGACCTCTCTCATACTGTCATTTTTGTACAGCCTAGACTCAAACCCCATGTAAATGTAAATGTCTCTGAAGCCCATAATATACACTCCTTCTGACTACTCTTTTCTCCATGCAATCCTTCCATGTGGCTCCATGTAGCGCTATAAATATATGTCAGTAATAGTCTCTTTGTCCTGAACTCTCCATTTTATTTTACTTTTTTGTGAAAAAATGGAATTGTTTCATTCTAAAATGCAATAATTTGACAACAACCAGGTGGTATTGCTTGTTGTGGCTTTTGACTTTAATAAAGAAGATATGCATCATCTCTGGTCTTAAAACGATAATATAAACTGACAATTCATGCTTATGGAGTACTTCTGGGTGATATTTGAATATTCTTGTCAAGTCAATTATATTGAATGTACCAGATAGAATAAAAGAATATCAGTTAGTTCAGTTTTCAATTAACTTTTTATTTTGAAATAATTTACAACTTACATAAAAGTTGCAGAAATAGTACACAAATTTCCCCCATATCCTTTACCCAGATTCTTCAATCCTTAGCGTTTCTGCACCATTTAACAAAAATGATGCTCCAAAGTTTTAACCTTAATACTTCAAGAGTGTATTTCTTAATTACAAAGACCTTTTATCTTTCAGTACAGCCATCAAAATCAGAAAGTTAACGCTGATCTATTATTACCATGGACTCCATTCAGGTTTCCCCATTCTTCCCAATGGTTTGTTTTAGACTCAAAATCCAATACAAAATCAAGTGTTGTCATTATGTTCTTTAGTTTCTTTCAGTCTGGAACAGGTCTTCGGTCTTCCCTTGTCTTTTGTGACCTTGACATTTTTGAAAAATAAAGGCTAATTGCTTGGTAGAATATCTTCCTATTTGGGTTTGTCTTAGGTTTCTCATGGTTTTTGCAACTTTGGGAAGAACACCCTAGAGGTGAAACCATGCTCTTCTCAGTGACTCCTCTCAGGGGTCACATGAAGTCAGTTTGTTCCATTACTGGTGATGTTAACTTTTATCAGTTCATTGAGGTGGTATCCGCCAGGCTTCTCTACTATACTAAAACCTGCAACAGCCAGAACCTGTGTAAGACAGAAACCTGTCAGAAAAGGAAAACTCAAATATTTTCCACCAAAATGGGTGATAGAAAAGTGATAAGACTGCACTCTGTCAAAGGCATAAAACTCACAAGACCCAAAAACCAAGGCAATCCTGTTGAGTACCAGCCCTCACAGTTTTCACTGTGTAAGGTTAGTTAATAAATACCCTGCACTTATTAATTGATAAGCAATGTTTGTGGAGAGATGCTTTGAGAGTATAAATATTCTGTGCCACATCAGACTTTCCCCTGCCAGATTTAGGATCCGTTGATGATTCTTATCTAAATCAGTTATTTCTATGATGGACAGTAAATGGTGATTTTCTGATTTCAGCACCCTTCTACATTAGTTGGAATTGAACTGTAACTGTATTATATATGGAGGAAAGGAGTCTCCTCCTTTCCTCCATATATATTTACTTATTCATTTATTTTGATCAGCGTGTACTCATGAATTCCTATTTTCATCAATAGGTTACAATTGATTTCTATCTGTTTAAATTCTGATCTCAAATGTTCCCAGAGTTGGTCAGTGGAAGTCCCTTAAAGTTGTTTCTTGTGTCCTTTTGACATAATCTCATCATTCTTTGATTATGTATTTACTTCCTGCAACCACAAGATGTTCCCGGCTCATCTTGTGTTTGCCTGCCTTAGCCCTGAAGTCACCCATTTCTGCAAGGCGTTTAAGTTCCTTTGAGTGATGAGAGGTATTTAGAAACAAAGTCTGGGTGCTAGCAGTGCTCATTGCTAGTGGAGTTGCTCTTTGTGGCTTTCCACTTTAATGAGAGAACTAGGAAATGTGTGTATGGTCAATAATGTAGAAACCTGGCTACCATTATCTTCAATGCATACACTTACCTGTTCAAATTCCCCGTATATAAGCAACCTACTGGGACTGAAAGCTTGGTATCAGACGTGTGAGCCCATGCCTGCCTGGTTTGCAAGCTGAAACTGGGTACTAGATCTGCACCTTTTCTCTCCCACCTGCCTGCTCTCTCTGGGCACCAGCCAAAGTTCAGCAGGGAAGAGGCAAGAGGAAAGTCTAGTTAGGAAGCTTGGCTCCAGTTATTTTAGAAGGGGTAGGAGATGAAGTTAGAAAATTTGGGCCTAGACACATAGGCTACCCTTACACAGCTCCGCAACTGAAGGGGAAAAGACCAATCTTTTAATTTTACTAAGGAAGAAATAGTCTTAAAAGAATGAAGTAACTTGCCAAAGCTCATTCAGTCGAATGGTGGCAGACCTGGAGCTCAAGCTTGGATTTTTTTTTTTTGACTCCTTCTTATTATTTTCTTATTATTTTTAGTGCAACTTGTAGAAAACAGCCTTGCAATGGACAACAATAAACAACAATGCAGCAACTTTCTTCCTTAATATAATGTGATTTTTTTTTCACTTTTGCTTCAATTAAATCATTATGTAGAGAGATGCCTGTCTATAAGATGCAAATTCCAAAATTCAAAATTGTTTCTTTCAAAGCTAGAAAAAGATTATATATTCAAAGCTTGAGGCAGAGTTGACCCTAAGATTGGAATCACAGACCAAGGTTGAACATGGGTCCACGCAGGTCTCATGATCGTAATAGGTCTACCAATGAGCATGGGTAAATAAATAATAGTGTAAGATTGGGAAATGCTAAACTACAATATGTTTTTCTCTAGAGATTTAAATTGATGAATAGCCTGGGGCTGCCATTGCTATGAGTTGAGTTCTACCATGGTTGAAATGGGAGCATCTCAGAGCAAAGCTAGTATACTCCTTTTCCTCAGGTGAAGGTGTTCATTACACA